AGTTTCCTTGTGCTCCAGGCAATTCCTCCCTCACATTCCCACCTCAGGAAACCACTGATTGGCTTTCTGTTACAACAGAATTATTTCCAGTTCCTAAGGTTTTATATTTTGAAATCATATGCTATGTACATTATTTTGCTTTGATGTTTTTTTTTTTGCTCAGAATAATTATCTGAGCAAAAAATAAAATGTTTACCCATTTTGTTAAAAAAAAAGTTTACTATTTCATAGCTATACCTGCTATAATTAAGGTATGTTATAAGCCACTCTGAAAGGACCTGCCAGAACTTTATTATTGTTCACTAGATTAGTATTATTCCATGCAATTATAATAGAATGTTATCTATAATTAGACCTTCCATTACCTTGTAATTTGGTCCTTCCCCTTCTTCCACGGAAATAACCAGTTCTCTACCTCCCCACCCCTCAAACTCCTATCCCCCATAGGTATAATTAATGAGCTTGGTTCTCCATCTGGATTTAGGAAGGTGAAATGTTTCTCCTGCCTCACTCCCAGTTTGTCCACCGCTAATGAGTTTATATGGCAATGCCATCACTATTGCGCTCCTGGCTGACAGTTACATAGCTGAAAAGCATCCTCTCTACACCTTGTACAGACCAGCCACAGCTCTCAGCATGTCCTGCTCCACAACCTTCTCTCTCCCACCTGAGCCCCAGAGGCCTGTTGGTGGTGGTTGGGAATGTGCCTCTCAAGCCCACTAGTTCCCCAGGGGCCATCACTCGGCAGTTTTCCAGCAGCCCCATCCGGACTGGAGTTCATTCCTGTGCATGATGGAGGGATGGAGTGGTGCCTAGAGAGCAATGTATTTAATAGGAAGTAAAAGACAACATCAACGAATTATAATTTGGGGTATGTACTCACAGGTGAATTAATCAGTGGACTTGTTTAGAAATGGGTTATCTACACTGGTGCAGAAATTAAAATTTCTGACTTGCCTTGCTTTGCCAATATTTAGGCATTTTGTTCTATTGAATGTGACTACATGTACAGACACACTTTTATTTAGTCTCACACATGAAAAGAGAAAGCATAAGGCATGTTATTCGAGTGGTTTTTCATCCAAGCATTTTTATCACAAATTACTGAATCTAGTTGAAAATAGAAAGAGGATACTTCTCTCCCTTTCCCCCCAGTATTTGTTCTAACAACCTAGCTTGGCAGCACACAGTATTTTGAATTGTAGTTAAAATAAAGGCTTCCCTTTCTAAAAAAAACATTTGAGTTGTTGCCATATCAAAAGATCAGCAAGCTGACCTGCTAAAAGTAGGATGTGATTGTAGGTTCCTCTCTCTAGGATGAGTATTTCAGAGGTTTAAGAAGGAAAGAAAATCCTGAAAAAGAATTCAAGAAAAATAGAAAGAAGAAGGCTTCAAAGTAATGTCTGTATACATCATTTCCCTCCAAGGCTATTTAGCACAGAAATACTTTTTCCTGACTATATGGCACTTACTCCATACCTTTTACTAATTAGCATTTAAATAGGTGATGACAGCAACTATATTAAAACTAGAAAGCTTTTCTATAAATGAAAGTCAGAATTTATAACAAATTAACTGAACACTATTGTTATATTCATTACATTGGTTGCTTCAGATCTGCTTGCTACAAATTCTGGGTTTGAAAAACATGCAACCTCATCTCACCGTGCACTTTAATAATTCTGAATTATGTAAAACAACAGATAACCCAAACATCATCTTCGGCTTTGTTTCAGATATATTTTTGGTTCTTACATTTGGATCTGGGTATCCTCGATCTGAAAATTCACTCAACCTCAAATAAAATAACAAAACCACAGCCTAGAAATCTTGAATGTCGAGAAATTCCCTATTTTTAATAGGCGATACAGCGCGTTCCTACTCTCTCCCTTCTCTTAGATCTGCAGGTGTCTCCACTGCTCCAGTAGACTGAGAAAAGGAAAAGGAGGGGGCGACAAGAAAGGAAAGGAAATTGTGTGGCTTGGCGGGGTGGGGTGGGGGGTGGTGTTAATATTATGATTAAAAGCTTTCCTCTTCAGTTTGAAAGTTCTTACCCATATTAATGATCTGACATTAAGGAATATGAGTCTGAGCAACAGCGGAGTATGAGTCCGTCCATCTGTAACTTATAAAAGGAAAGGAACAAAGCAAGGATAGGAGGCAGGAAAGAGATGCAGGGAGAGAGCGAGGTGTAGGCGCGTGGGGACGGGAAGGGAGAGGCGGATTTGGCAGTCAAAGGGGGGACGAAAGGAACAGGAATGGAAAGTGTGGCCTGGCCGTCCAGCCTTGTGGTGGAGAAGGTGGAGCCCACGACGTCTCACTTCCCCCCACCCCCAGGTTTTTCCTTTGTAGGTGGGGGCTCTCAGGCATCTGGAAAGAATCGGTCGGCTAAGAAAGGCAAGGCTGTCGCCTGAGGATGCGCAGGCTCGAGACCGCCTCTCCTGGAGCAGGCGGGCGAGCAGGGATGGCAGGGACAAGCAGTGACCCCAAGGCAGACGGTTTAGCGGGCGCTAGGGGCGAAAAGGCCACCAGCCCAGTCCCAGGGGTCTGGACGCCCCAGGCCAGGGCCGTCCGTGCAGGGGATGTTGCCGCGCCCGCCCCGCTCTAACTAGCGCCACTCGGGCGCTCTCACTCCCGGCCCGACCCTCTGCAGGCCTCGCCTTGTCCCCTCAGTCAAGACCCTCTAGTGCAGACCCCTCCTCGCCGTGTCTGGCGACAGTCGGCAAACATGGCCGCCCGGCGTCGGCTGCGGCGCCTCCTCTCCCAGACCTCGGGGGCGGCGAGGCTGGCAGCGGCGGGCGCC